CTGATAACGTTGTTATCAACTCGATGTCTAACGCTGAATTGAATCAAGTCGGCTGAGTTTATTGAGCTTCATCAAGTTAATGGGAAGTTTTAAATTTAGAACCGCCTTGCAGTTCAAAATTGTGACGTATTTTCCTCTAAAGAAAGGATCGAAAGTAAAGATTAGCATACTTTTTTCGCACTAATGCACCATAAAGATATTGAATATTGAAGGAGGGTCTAATGAATTTGTGACTTACCTGCGAGGGAGTATTTCTAACTGATATAAAATAAGACCTGAACAAAACATAGCTATGTGAAGACGATACATTCATATCAGATACATTCATATCTGATTAAACACCATCGCTAGTTCAAGTATCGTCCCGAAGTGTCGACGTCAGTGTTTTGAATTTTCGTAAATTAAAGAAGCCACAATGATTTTAAGTACGCTTTGTCATGTTCTGTGACACAATGACAAATGTTGACATAGACGCACGCAGAACGGAACAGAAAGGTTGTTTCGACACTCAGGATTGTTCATGTTGATATCTTGCACGCGATCTTCTAGTTCGAGAGCAAACCCTGTTTGAAACATCCAGAGAAATTAAAGTTGTCAAGCAAGAAAGAATAAATAGATGACAATAAACGCGGTTATATTAAGTAACTCTGTTTCGTGTCCGACCTCATTCTCATTTGCATGTAATTCGTTTACAAAGCGGAAAATTGCATCAAGTGTGGTTGTACTGCTTTGGATCACGATGATTTTCAAGCATGATTTCAAACACTTTTTGCTTTAAATTCTCTATGCACCGCTTATATATTTCATAATAACACGTCCCGTACGTACCCTTGGCCGTATGAAATAAACAAATAGAAAAAAAACTTTTTTACAAACATTTATACTAATAAGGAAGAGCGTCTTTTTCTTTTAACGCCCAATTAGCATTGTTCCCAATAAACTGCTGAACGAACAGTTATTTGAAGAGGTTGCTTCCTGTTTGGTTCATGAGCTAATCTTTCTTACTTTCGCTTCCGGTTAGCTTTTTTACATAACGATTGAAAAATATTGGTAGGTTTGGAACTATTGTTAAATTGTAGTTAATTTCGAGAGTCAAAGTAATTAAAAGTCCGTAAACTGTATGAGTTCGTCATGTTTTTATTTAAGGTCGAGATATGAATGATTCAGAGAATAATCAAAATTGAAAATATCAGGAAAGAAAACGGAATAGACTGGATTTTGAGCTAAGTCTAACATAATGTACCACGACTTTCGACTCACAATACATTTCTTTCTTATGTTCCTTCCTGAAAAGAAATATGATCTATCATTTGATAAACAAAAAGATAAATGTATCTCGCACAAACGCCGCCAGATATGCATAGTCAATTTTCAGGTGATTTTACTAATTCCATCGGTTGCGCTTGAACATATTTTGTCAATAGTTTTACCAAAGTGATCATTCATTTCCCGTAGTGAAATTTTCGATTTGTCGACAGGCTTTCATGACCATACAGCAAAAATCAAAATATCTCCATGGCCTTTTATAGCGACTGGAACTTTCGCCACGATAAGTGTAACACTAACCCCCGGTAAGTTGATTACAGAACTAAAGAGAATTATAACATGATTTCGACAGATTTAGACATTAGGCGTGCTCTGATTGGTCAGAAATCTATTGTATATTTACCTGTAAACTCATAGAAAGTGAAACATCTTTCCCCTTTATCAAATGGCGCCTTACTGGGAGAAATCCCAGAATGTAATTTTTTAAAGGCATTTGGTTTGGAGAAAACCAAGAGGACACTTTGAACGTCAAAAAACAACGACAAATATTTCATTATTTTAGCATGATCAAATCTTTCTATAAAACGCAGTTTAGCTAACTGGTTGCTCCGTCTTAAGCCTTTATTTTTCGCTGCGCAGTTATAATAAAAGAGCTTCAGTAATTCTCGACTAGAATTCCCTAAAGTGCTCGCTGAGAATGAAAAGTTGGTATGTTTTTGCTTCAAGAAAATTGTAGCGACAAACTAAGTGGATTTTCATCTAGATGTTTAATAAAAATAATATTTATATAAAAAAAAGATACTTGCAAAGTGAATGTACTCTAAAGATTTAGGGCAATGTCGTTTACTGTCCGCGAGTTCAGATGCAAAGGTTTAAGAGTTTCAAAAGTCGCGTTTTTCCATTAATTATGAGTGTCTTGTGCTAATTCAAAAGAATAAAGGAATTTTTTTCATTGTAGAATTTATTTGTGGTTGTCCCGCGTGCGCTCGTCTATCACGTCCTATTTTGGTTGAAAAGAAATTTTCCAAATTTTCGATCCTCAGCGGTCAGTCTGTAAGTCATGACGTCGAGCCGAATATTTTCCCATCCGACCCTCGCTCTCAATTTATTATAACATAGTATTTAAATTGTATTTTTTAATGAGGCTCTAAGGGTTTCTCTAGAGTGTGAATAAAAAAAATTGGCACAATACTATGTAACAAAGGGGAAAAAAAAAAAAAAAAAAAAGAAAGCTGAGCTAACGGAAAGGGAATTCATATACATAATGACGGGAAAAGTGTTGATGCACCTTTAAAACTGGGAACTAACGGTAGAAAGTCTAAAGAAGAATTTTCCATTTAAATTCAGTTTTATTCAGACTTGTTTCAGAAAATAGGGCACAATAATCGCAATGGTACAATTTTAGCATAAAAGCTGCTTCACTTTCAACTCCTCGCCACGTGAGCATCGACAGTACCTTATCAATAGCTAATGCTTTTGTTTCCTTCAGCTGTTGATGTCCTTGACGCGTACACGAAATACATAATAAAGTCAGAATCGGACGGAAAGGTTATCTTCAAGGGGAGGGAAAATTTTTGCAAAAATGCAGATTTCCAAGAATTATGCAGCTTACCTGCAGACGGTAAGTAGGGTATATGAATGATCAGAAGGAAAATGTAATGCTCGGTTCAAAATTGATAAAGTTGTTAATGCAGTGGCAGATCAAGTAAGTTTGACTGATCTGTCTATGCGTCGACCTTCTGTTCTATTCGAGTCTAGAATCTTCTTATACAGGAACAGAATACTGAAACTTCAACAGTTCATGCTCTGATCTTTTAATTTGCCAAATCTGATCTCCCATCCCTTCGTTTTCTTTTGAAAATGCATACTCTTTGAAACGATTTGACAAATCATGCAAACTAAAAACGCCCAATTACAAGAACGCCGATGACAGTAGAAGCTCTTGGACACATTCAGTTCAAACATGCCAGTCGTTTTAATGTAGACATGCGTAATGGCTTCCTGTGGTCGATATGCAGCTCTGCACTCTGCACAGGTTTTTCCTTTCCTCCATTCAAATTAGGACTCTAGTACTAAAATAAAGGCTTTCCCTTTAGATCTATCTGCGCCTTGAAAATATTTAGGCCATCACTGTTTCCTAATGGTGGCTTGCTGCTGTGATAGGCACGGCTTTTCACGAATCGTGAAATTTGAACATTTAGATATATATCCTAGCCAAATCGTTATGTTATATCATAAAACCCCAGGATGGATTTCGTGTCAATCAAACCACTTACTGTTTTTCTCCAAAGGAACATCTGAAAAATTCAGAAAAAAGCATATATTTTGAGCTGATGATTTATTTCGACGCTATCTTGCTGTTAACAATTGGTTCATACGTCAGCGTGCGTTCATTGAGATATGAAGCACGCGGGAAGTTTGGAGAGCACGAAAGATGCGTAAGAGTTGCTCGAGGCGTAGCAGAGAGCAACTCTAGCTTCTTTTGTGCTCTCCAAGTTTCCCAAGTGCTTCATATCTCGATGAACGCACAGCTGACGTATGAAGCAATTGTTCTATAACATTTTCAACCCGATGGAAAATCTTTTTCTCGAGGGATTTGTTTGCTGACGTCTGAGCGTGAACAATAGGAATATGAAGCACGCTCGCGCAATAGAATTTGATTAGACAAATTTACCAGCTGTTATAATTGTTGTTGATGTTGCTTTATTGCCGATGCTAATAACTATTATTTCCTCCTGTTTTTCTGTACCCTTTCCTGATCTACTTGTTTCCTTTCTTTTAGAGACTCACGTGTTCACTCACTCAGGTAAATTGGCAGCAATTCCATCATTTTTCAAGGTAATAGATTTAGTGACATGGTTGAGTTTCAAGCCTCCTTATTATAATCCTTAGCTTCTATTCACATTTATTTTTTCTGTTTTTATCGCATAACTTGTTTTTCGGCCATTCGGTAATTGTTAACTTTTTCTTGGTACTAATGAGCATTAGATTAAGTTCTGGTTGATTTGCGTAAGTCATTATGTTAAGAAACGAGAAACAGGTTAAATAAATATACGCGCCCGATTAAAAGGCACACTCCTTTCTTTTTTTTCTTGAATTGCCAGATGCTGACCGTTAATGGAAGACTGCAACTTTTTAACCAGGATGATGTTATGTTTCTTTGTCTCGATGCCGTGGCTAAGGGACACTAGACTGAGTCGAACAAGGGATAACGACCAAGTCAAAGATGAGGAGAAACGCGAAGGCATAGTGGAGGAGAGCCTTTTTTTCTGTTATGGCATGAGCTTGGGGACAAAATCGATCATTACATTTCTTATCGTGTGTTTTTTGCCTTCTTATCTCAACGTTATTTTGTTTCTTTGCTACATTAGCGAACACTGAACTACTGCTCCTACTCTAAATATGACAATCAACCACAAAATTCCCTAAACCCTTACCCTAAGCAACATTAAATATAATCCAAAATTCATGTAAGTCATCTGTCAGTTCACGAGTTCGTTCACAGAGCACTTCGATTGTCCCTTAGTGTGGACTTATTTCATCATAGAGCATTATATTGCCCAGTGATCGCCAATCAAGGAGTTACGCTGAGGACGTCTCAAGTCCAACCATATACCTCTGCTTGATCTTTCGGACTTTGAAGGGAGCACCGTGTGTAATATGCTTTTTAAGAGTCTAAAAGCTTAAGTCCGCTTCTTTCGCACTCTTGGAATATCTATTCTATATTTCTATTCGCGCGAACTGTTCCTCTCTCCTGACTGCAACCCGTTTTTGATTCTTGTTTTATATTGAAGGCTGGCTCATTTCGTAGTCACAGCGGACTCAAACGAACTTTGTCCCCAGTATCCCTTTTCTTACCAGCCCCTAAGAGATCAAATCTCTCACTGCCTACTTTCAGCCGTTTTGTAACAGTTGTTAGTAAACTAACCAACCCACCCCACCCCCCCTTTTCTTTCCTATGAGCTGTCCACCTCCCTTTTGTACTAACTTGGAAGTTGACACAAGCTGACGTAGTAACAGTAAAACATCGATCACTAATTTACCTGATAAGTATTCAATTTATTAGTATTGTTCATTAAGTTTTGACTCTGAGACCTTGTCTTACAGTATTTTTTTGTTTCAAGATGACTCTTTTGATTATTAAATATCTAAGTGACTCACTTTGTAAACAGGTCGTCAGTTCCATTCTATTTTGAAGTGATATATTACTCCCTCTGATCTATTCGCACTCGTTGTTTAAGGGTGGGGTGTAACTCATTACTAGTTTACACTCCCCTAGGTAGGTTTATTGTTGACAATTCTCTTAATCAATATCATAAAGTCGTTGTTATCAGAGACATTTCGCAGTTTTAACACAAAAATTTTTCCATCCTACTGTCTAATCTATTTCTTTAATTTGTCCTCCTCCTCGCGAGTCAGCTACTCATTCTTGCCTTTTAGTACACTTTGAACACCGCATCAAAACAGAGAAACATGATATACTCTTCATTGAAAAATTGATTTCTTGCTTTAACGGTCAGCGTCTAATGGTTTAAGGAATAAAAACAGAAGTAGAATTTATTTAACGTAAACACATAGATTGCTCTGTCTTGCTTCTCTGTAGAAGCAACGACCACTATGACATGAGCATTGATGAAAATCATCATCATTATCACCATCATTTGCAGAAAATCACTGTAAATATGGATACGGGAGCAATGGTTGTTGGGTATCAAAGCTCACCTATTTGGTGAAATAGTAAGCTGAATAGAGATAAAGATAGAAAAAAATTCAAACAAAGAGACAAACAAACAAACAAAAAAACATAGGAACAGCGCAGCAGAGCCACCTTATAACAATCTCAAGCACTGTAAACACATGGCTGGTTGAACACCTATTTATTAATTGATTACCTTCAAAAATGGTGGAAGTTCTGTTAATTTTGTAGAAATAGTCTTCACTTGAGTTTCTGGGAAAAAATAGACATGCTAGTAAATAAATAACAGCCGATGGTCTATCCGCATAAAGTTTCATCTTGTATTATTTTTTTCGCTTCAAAACACCTTACCACCGGCAGGAAAGTTGCACAAGTCTGGAATGCTTTCGCATAAATGGTCATTCGTGCCTCTAATAACCGCCTTGCTTTCCGATTCTAACCCATACTCGTATTCAATAGTGACATCAAGGACATCTACAGCTGTCGGAAACAAACACCAGTAAGAAACATGGCGCAGTATGCCCTCAAGTGGGGAGAGTTTGTAAAGCTGATGTTTCGAGCATTAGCCCTTCGTAATAGTAAATAAATAGAGGAATTGTTGGTTGTGTGTTTTATTTACAGAACAATACGCCTGAAGGCTATTCCGTGGAATGCGTCGGCTACTGAGCGGTTCATTGAAAGGAATAGTGCAGTTAAAATAAAATACGAAGATTGTCACTTAAATTAGCCAAAGACATCAATGAAGAAAATTTTAGTGTTGAATAAACCGCGACAGTGTTTGTAGTTAAAAATAGCGAGGAGCGGCATCTCAAAATCCTTTGGATCTCTCCGAAACAAACTGGACCTCAAAATATTGATCTCCTCGTGTTTCTTATCGCTTGTTTCAATCCTAAAGAGAAGCAGCCTGGTAAAATAATTTCCATTTCCGCTGATAACTAACTCTCTTCTTTGAGGAAGTATATTTTCAGCCGCCGTAATTTACTCATCAAAAACCTACAACTAATAAGATTGTACTGAGGTATTTCTTAGAGATTTAAAGTTAGGGCCTGTTTACACGGATGTGGGGGACCCCAGCTGGGTGAGGTTATCCGCCTAGCCGAGGTCGATAAAAAGCCCGCGTTTACATACAATCTTACAACCCCGGGATGCCGGGGTGAAGTTTCTCGAGGTTTTTATCGCATTTGTAATTAAGGAGTTTAACGGCGACGTGTGGTGAAACGTTGCCGAAAAACGTCAGTATTTTACCGTCCTTTAAGATTTTCGCCAATAGCTCGATGCGTTAACGGTTTCTGGCGCTACAATGTCTTCGCTTCGGCGTAATATGTGAATGTAGTATTGAGTTTAGAGTAAAAACGTGATTAAATCGCTGTGAGGTTTCATTGCTAAGAGGACATAAAAAATGGTGTTTTAACGTTTTAGCTCTGCACGGGACGGCTAAGAAATGTGAAAATTTTGAACATACCCGTATTTCTGATCCGCGTGTCATTCGTCTATTCAATTTTCGTTTAAAATCAAAAATTGAAAATTGATGTCAATTTTTGATTTTCGTTATTTTTTATCATAGAAACATACAAAAGTGCCAAATCAAAAATTTTGACTTTTTTTTCCTTTTGATAGAATACTGAGACACAACTTTTATTTCTGTTTTAATCCTGTCAACAATAAAGAGAAAAATGAAACTGAGCCGCAATTTTGCTTTTCCGACAATGCTGCAGTCTGTGGCATGGCTTAGTTTTTCTCTTTTCGGCGGAAGTCTAAAAATTGAACGTGCGACCTAACAATTTTGCCATTTCTCGCGCGATAATTTATCATTTCTCGTGGGATAATTTCCATTTATTGCACGATAATTTCCCATTTATCGCGCGATATTTTGATTTTATCGTGCGATACATGAGATTTATCGCCCGATAACAAAAAAACGAAAGAAAAATTGCATGTCTTCTGTGGGCCACCGTCTGTTTCGGTATTGTTTTGCTCATTTTTGTGACATGAACGCGATCCCGGCCAGGTGGGTTACCTCACCATGACATGTTTACATTGCAAACTGTCACCCCGGCTGACAGGGTTAGCCTACCCAGCAGACCGGGCAACCCGCCTAGGCAGGTCATCCTATCTACCATATAAACGTGATCAAGACTAGCTAAGAGATTATAGGGACAGGCCGGTTTCCAACTCCCCCCCTTCCCCCCGAATACGCGGGTAACCTCACCTTACCTAGGGTATCCCACCTCCATGTATACAGGCCATTAATTTGTGATATTCAAGATGTCAATTTCGCAATAAACCCTACGCTAGATGAGCGGTAGATAATCGGTAGATTTTATTAGATGTTTCATGGTTAATCACACAAAAACGTTCACTTCCCTTGCATCAACATTACATAAATCCATTTTTAATAAAATGGGAGCGAAAAAGCGATGTACTCTCATCAAATCAAGTATTATTACGTCGAAACAACGTTGCGCTAACACAAGGAACCGATTACTGGTAACTCGTTCATTGCTGAGAGATACGGAAAATGTCAACATTCCAAGCATTTCAAGAATTTGTCGATTTGCGTCAGCGATGGAAAAGAAAGGCCGGGCAACCGCACAGGCATCCCACGGAAAAATTGAGCAACGCAAGGAAGTATAAAATCAGCAGTTTATGTAATGTTTAAAAAACGAGCAGGAGTGTTTTATCGGGTTTAAAACCACGAGGCGTAGCCGAGTGGTTTTTGACCCGATAAAACACGTGCTGCGAGTTTTTTGAACGGCTTCAAAAACATTATTGGAAAAGCGTGTGTCAAGAGAGTTCATAACAATTATGCTTTTGTGAACGTTAGAAATTAGCGTACGAGAAAAACATTAGGGATTAAATTAGTATGCAAGAAAATCAAATCTCACACGTGTTTTGTACTTTTCTTCTACTAAGTTTCAGATGATGTATTGTCTAATATGCCTTTACCAGATTACTGTACTAATGGAATAGAGAATTTTTCCAGATGTGTATTTCACAACTGTACTATTAATTTGGTGCAAAAGTAAATTTACTGTGTGAAATTTGTTGAAAGAACATTAAATATGTTCCCAACATTTGTTGTGTCAGTTTCTGTGTTGATAATTAATTAATATTCATAAGTCAGGAGCAGTGTCTTTATATATGATAAAACACCGCATACTAATAAGGTTGAGGTTTATCGATATAAAGTCACTGCACGTGATGTATTATCTACCATTTGATAGGTTAATGGGCTTATGAATTACTAATGAGTTTTTGAATATCTCTTTAAAAATGTTGAATGCAAAGCGTTGAAACCGAGGAGGCTAAAAGTGCCAATAGATACATTCGATAAATTTTTTTTGCAATGTTTTGCAACTTTCCGAATTGCTTAGATGCAAGGAGGGGCTGCAGACTGCGCGACATATCATGCTGCTTAGAATGATTCATAATCCGTCCTTTGCATTCCTTCTTGCGTTACGTTCTCGGAACGGGTCGCCTAGTTCTCTTCCAATCCTGTTTCGCAGATGCAGAGTTGTTTTTGTGATATAAGGGAATATCTAGGATTAGTATTTACTGAATAAACGGATAACGTTGAACCGTGTGGCATGTTTGAAATACAACAACAGCACGAACGAAATTATTCGATAGAACATATTCATATTCCACTGACATCAACTTACCGGGTGTGAATATTACTGTTAAATTAACGATAGCTCCAGTAGGGATGAAAGGCCATGGAGAAATTTTGATTTTCGCTGTCTTATCGTAGTTGCCTGTAAAAAATACAAGAAGTAAACTGGTTTGAACGCAATTGATTGTGTTATTTTCTGTTTAAATCTTTATTTGGCAATAAATTCAGTAACAGTAGTCAAAGGATATGGAGGAATCAGTCGAATAACTTCAAAGAATAAAAATCCAAAGGGGAGGGCGCAAACGGGGCAGTAGGACCCATGCGAGGCGCCCACCCAAGGGAAATAGGGTTTAAAAGACATCTGATCTGATTTGATTGTCTGTGAAGTTAGTCCACAACTTCATTTGCTAAAATTGAAATTGATTTATTAAAACCAACATGATAAAATTTGTGATTATTTATAACGTTTTTGAGAAATTGATTGTGTTTTGGTTAATTAATTTGTGTTTTGGGAGACTGGTTTGTGTTTAAATATGTCAACTTCGTTTAACTCTTTTAAGCTATTGTTCAAGTCTTCATCTGAGTCGAACCCCGTCAATAAATAATGACTTCCGCTAAGAGTATCGAAACGTTAATCGCTGCTTGCGACAACAATCCCAGAGTAAGGACTTCTCTCACCAGGTATATCGAACTGCACAATCAAAAAAGACAAGCATTAAACCTACTACGGTTTTTTAACGTTTGAAGATGTATATTTGTCACAAGCCAAAGAGGAACTCACCACAGAAAGTCACATTTATAACTTCTATCCCCGGGGGATATGCCACAGTCCTAGTGAAGACGAAAAGCAACAGATTCAAGGCGATGATTCGCAGTTGATTGGTTGAACACTTCATTGTCTTCTAAAGTGACAGCTGGGCAGCAAAATACTGAAAAGGAATTTATTGATATCGATCACATTTTCGCAGTGATGTTACTACAAGCGGGAAAGAGGAATGGGAAAGAGAAATGGGAAAATGAAATGGGAAATTGAAAAAATATTAATTTTTTTTTTTAATTTTTCTGTTTCAGATTTGCTGTTTATAACTGAGGAACGAAACGACTGCAGGGAACGAAATAAACTGATGGCAAGAAAAGAAATGAGCTTCGAGGAACAGATAATAACCAAGAACAATTATATGAGTATCTTCGCGCAAAACAGAGGCTATTACGTTTCTTATCCTTAAAATATTTTGCGAAACACGTGAAAAAATATTTACGAACAACTTAATGTTCTAAGCGTGGGATGTCTTCTCTCGAGTGTTCTCTGGTATGACTTTATGAATAAAAATATTTCCCTTCCTCCGTAACAACCATAGAACTCTCTCTCATCTTAAATTGAGTTTTAAACGAAGACTTATCATAGTGGATGTAAGGTTTGAAAATCGGGTGGTATCACGTGGGTGATATCCTCAGATATACCCCAGTTTTAAGAGGGAAAATATTTGTTAAGGTGATGTGTTTAGACCAGTCACGAGCGAGTAAAAATATTCTATGGATCATAATCGACAATATACCTTAAGTAGAATTCCCCAATTTCAAGCTCTACATTTACGACGATAAGTCTTCGTTCAGTATAATTGATTGAAGGTGAGAGAGCGTTCTGTGGTTGTTAAGAAAGAGGGGACATGCTTGTTTGTTCATAAAATTGTACCAGCACTGAAAAGTTAAAAACCTACGCAGTGAATGGTTAGCTGTACCGATAAACATTTTTTTCAGCTAATTTGCAAAAAACATTTGAAGGATGATAAACGAAATAGCCTCCATTTGGCCCGGAAATATGCCTGTTCTTCGCTCTTTGAGGACGGGATCAGCTGAGGCTAACCTTTAGAAGTTCAGGAAACTCGCCACTGGTATTCATGCAAATTACCATTTGAAACCTGATAAATTCATTATTATCTGCTTGGCGCTTCTTATGGTCTGCTTTCGTATCAATTTTCCTCAATTTCCCATGGCGAAACTGTTCTCGTTAACACATTCCGTAAGCTAGCAGTAGACGTCTGTTTTCTTCGCATATTCGAACACACTTAAGTTTTCAGAAGGTTCTAGGACAAGACTGAGCTTCACTATGCACTTGAAAGAGGAAAATTCAATCATTTATACCGGTAGGCCAACAGTTCTTTGCCGAAGACGTTGAAGACGGAAAGCAATCGGATACAACTGTAGCATCTGATGAACACACTTAATAACGACCCTTCAAAAACATAGAAGGCCGACACCGCAAAATTATCGCAAAGAAGTAAAATACTCACAGCAGAAGACTCAAGTCTACTTAACAGCTAGTGTGAAAGCTAACGCAAATCCTATTGTAGGAACAACGACAGTGTGCAATTGTTTAAGTTTGAGGATGCCCTTTTTTAGGTCAGCAATTGAAGGATGCTTATTCAGGCATTGTAATACGTTTTTTGCGTGACTCAACATTTTGTTAGGTTTAATTTCAACGGAAGTTTCGAGAAGGATTTGGAACCCTTTTTAAATTTAAACATTTCCAACTTTTTCCCATCGTTAATGTTGGAACACGAAATCTCCATGCTTGAACTGGATACTTAGAAACACTAAGATAAGAACGAGGATTGTCACCAAAATTTTATGAACATGAATACTACTCCAATGTCTTACTGCACCAGTAACTTACCAGGAGGGATTAACCTTCGATGCTGTGTGCAACCTCCTCTAGATGTTTTACCTACGCTTGAGAATTTCAATTGTTTTGCCGAAGAGATCGCTTCCGTTTTTTTGCTTGGCTTCAAGATTCGAACCCTGAATCAAGATGTGTTTGCTCAACTATCATTTGAAAACGGCTCGAAACCAAACGGTATCATTGCGAAGAAAACAAAACCGGATGGTAAAGCAAAGACTACTGGCTTTGGCATGAACAGGAAGTTAACGTCAACAAATCAGTTTTGTAAACATGATATGTGAAAATCCTAGTCGTCTCTAATATGTATGAATCACTTTCTCTCTGGGTTTATTATACTTCAACCAATATAGGGCCTAAATTCACCGTGAACCGTCCATAATATATCAGCCAATAATATCTCTAAAATCACTCAGATATTTCCTATCAAAAACAAACAGGGATGGTTCGAAACTATGCTATATATAAATAATTTATTCAAAAACGCACGGACATTGCCCTTGAATCTGCTTTCGACCTTTTTTAACGGAAGATGGTTTATTTAAAACGCAAGCTAGTTTTACAACTTCCCATTTCTTATAAAGTTGCAATTAAAGATATTTAGCGGCCTGATTGTGGGTATTTCAATGCGTTTTACAAAGAACCTTAAACTCTCATATGAGGTAAGTTATTGGCCGTCTCATGACTGTTGGAAAGACACAGGTGACATTCACGATAGTGAGCCTTTACAATAGCGTATGTCTCTTTATTGTCCATCTAATGAGGAACCTAATTTAGCAATTTTTATGACCGTTCATCTTACTGAAACAGAAACATCAGTGGACTGCTACCCTTTTATTTCCCAACTAGAAGCATTGCAAAATGTCAGTAATGCGCACGAATGTCGATAAACTTTCGCGAGAGATCTGCCTGGTAGACAAAGCTCTGCTGCTTTAAAAGGACAATAAACGGAAATGAATTTGCTTTTAGTTCTTAATCTAGAAATGAAGATGTTGTAACTTTTGTTCCCAGAAACCTAGTTTGGACTCTGTAATGATGTTTATTGGCCTGATACAAGTCATCTTGGTCTTTTGGTTTGTAACACCATGTGAGAGTGACGTTTGCAGCCTGACTGAAATCTGTAAATGCCCTAAATTTGGTAGGACCCACGCCCTGGTGAGAGTAAAATGTCATTTTCATGGACCCATTCCGGCCAAAATCCCAAACAATACATTGACACTGTAAGTTATGTAAAAACGTTAATCGTCCTTGTTCTTTCTAGACGTGTCATCGTCTCTTTTGGTATGTTACTTATCACACACACACACACACACAAGAAAAAAAAAACGCATACACAAATTTATCATAGGAAAAACCACACTGATCACAATATATAACCAGTCGTCTAGATTCACACGAAAGCACATTTCATTTTATAATAAAGTTCGGATATAACGCGCGCTGTCATCGGCTGAAAGAGCGTGCTCTATGAGAGTATAGAACATAGAGCTGAGCTAAAGCTGTCACGCCATCTGCCAAATTGTACTATGTTCGACCTTTTCCGGGACTTCTTTTTAGCTTTTTTCCGATAATGGAAAGTGAAATTTCGGAACAAGCGAGCCGGCAAGTAGCAATATTATAAAACGTGAGCAGATACGAAAATCCTCAAAGGAAAAACAAAATAGACATTCCGAGTTTTAAAGATTTTCACGCTCAGTTAGATCGCAAGCTTACGTACGGTAATAAAAATCAAACACAGCTAACACTCGTATAGTATATAAAGTTCAGTGTTCAAAAACAAAACAGAGCAAAACAGAAATGATGAAAAATATAGCCAATCTGGCACAACTGTTAAAATTCATACTAATCATGACGGTGTCTGAGCGAATATGATTATGTTGAAGTCTATCGCGGCTCGCTCATCATGGCGATCTCCGGTCATCAAGGTAAAGCAAGCCTCAGAAACTACGTCGGCCGCCCTTCGAGTGAAAAAATAAGAGCTTGCTCTGATATCCTTTCCGATCCATTGAGTGGAAAGTCACATCAGTCGCTGCAGCCGAGTTTTGCGGCGCTGTCATCCCGAGCGATCTTCATGTTCCGGTGAATTCGTCTGTCGTTCATTCAAAAACGCTCGCCTTGAACAGTTTGTTTTCTACCTTGTCATGTGAAAAACCTCGCGTGTTTTTATGAGCCATAATTCAGCTGAATTTCACTGCAAATTTCACTTCAAGATCCTGTATTAGAGACTTAAAAACTTCAGGCAAAAGTGTTAAATTCGACCTGCCGAACTATTTCAGTTTGTAAACTATCGCAGAATTTGAACTTTGATGGTTTGACACTTTTGACAGCTTTAGTCTTGTACAGCCAATCAGATTATTTGAACCATTCTAACAGGGATTATAATTGGCTTATTGTAGCGTGCTTTATGAGAGTATAGAGCATGCTGACGACACTGTTGTTCGCTTTGCAAATAAAGTTTGTTTTCAAAATTGAAAGTAATTCTTGGGGAATTTAAGGGATTCTTTATTATAAAACAAATAGAAGAAAGAAGTGTAGAAGAAACACTCGACTACGTCTCGTGTTTCTCCCTACACTTCTTTCGTGCTCTAGCCGCTTCCTGCGTGCTTTATAACAGAACAGAGCACAGTCAAGGCTTCTCTATTTGTTAATTAGTATTCGCCACGTTAATACAATCGCACCCCCAGCTTCGATTAAGAAATTTGCGTCAATTGAACTTGTGAATTTTTGTTAGCTTTCATGAATATTCTCTCTATGTACTTAACAGCTCGTTAATTCAATTTCACCCCAATTCTTGATAACCTATAACGATATTTTTTTTTGTACGAACCCACTTTTTTATACGGCACATTTCTCTTTCACAAAATTACACATCTCACTCATCTCTCGTTTGGGGGAAATTACACCACCATAGTTTCGATAAGAACTCTTACACTTAGAGTTAAGACATTCACAATCCTGTTTCCTCTACAAATTCTCTTTCTTTGCGTAAATTGCATGCTATTGCCTCCTTTTGAAATTTCACACCTTCCTGAGATCTTTTGCGTTATTTTTTCTTATGTGGCATCGATTCAAGACCTCTCAATAACACTCCCCTCATAAGGTAACATATATCTTTTACGTCGACTCTGCAAATTGCATTTTAATCATTTTCATTCTTTTAACCATGTTCAATTTATTCCTTAGAGATCTTTCGAGTTGTTCCCTGAACACAATTTCAGAAGACACTTTTAGGGAATTGACTGTTTTGAAGGAATTGTAAGTAGTAATTGAGATAAAACTGTCAAGTATCAAGAAAAATAGGCAGGATTGTTGAAACAGTTAGAAAAGGAACTTCCCCAGATGACAAAACATTTCCCGAGTCAACAGTAAACGCACAAAAAAGACCATTGGTTAGCAACTCAATAATTTTAACTGATAGATGCCTACAACTTTAGCGAATCAAAATGAGGGATTTGCACTTGGAAAATATTCTTCTCCAAACGATTTTTAAATTAAGGTAAGCAGAGTAAATTAGCGGGGAACATTTGGCTTACTTAAACTTTTGCACCTGATCATGACTAGCTTTTTTGTGTGCTCTTTTTTCTTAGAGCCTTGCCAAATAACTCATTGCGGCACATTCCACGAAACACTTTCAAGAATATGAAGAAGCTGGATATTGTGTAAGGGAATTTCTAATAGTTGCATTCAACAGTAAATTTGCATCGTATAGCCGAAAAAAATGTATTAAGGTAATTAATTACCTAGTCTTCATTTCCTAACATTCGCTGACATTTTCTTTCCAGAAATCTGGAAATGAATTCAATTTCAGGGAATTTTTACCTTCCTCCAAGCCTTTCTATACTGTGAGTAATTAAAGTAGACGAAAGTTCATCGTAAAGTTCAGATTTACCTATGCATGCCATCTTAAAAAAGTCATACTATGTTTTATTTTGTCTTGTTTATTTTGATGTTTCTCGTTAGCTCATTCTCATTAAAAAAAAGGGATGTTATTTGTTCATGGATGAGACACAGTGACGCAAATGGAATGAGGCCGCGTGAGTCATCATAACGCCGTTAAATTCATCAAAAAGCTAATTAATTTTAATTATTTTATTTGCCTAGTAAACTCGAACACAACCTTATATCAATTGCGGATGTAAGGGTCATTCTCAAGGGACTAACACGGCTTCGGAAACTGTAAGTGTAATTTTTCATCCGGAAAAAAACTTTAAAAAAAATGTAATTAAGATATAGTTATCCTAGAAATAATGTCATAACAAGAGAGAATAAACCTTATCCTCGATCTCTTGCGTTATCGTTATTCTGCCAATTATTGCTTTTGTATCTTGTTATATCATTCGTCACATTTTATTAAGCACGAATATTTGCCATCTGTTTTCATATCATGTCGACCTACCTGAATGTAGAAGAGAGTTTTTACTGATTGCAAACGGTTCACTTTTACAGATACCTTAATTCAAATCCACTTGGACCATCTCTGCCAGCAGATATCTTTGCTGTTTTTAACGATATGAAATGTCTGTAAGTTAAGTAGCTCAACATACAAATCACCACCATAGAACAAAGTATTAATGTTTGTCTCATGATATAGTTATTCCCGAAGTTGGTTGCGACGCTTGGACTGCGAGCGAGCGAGCGAGCTCTCGTTGCTTTTCTCTGTAGCAGAGCAGTTTTTAATTGACTGTAGAAAAATGAAAACCAAAGTAACCACAACGGCCAATCATAACAAAGGTTTACATCACCAACAACCAATGAGCACTCAAAGTGAAAACTCAAATTAGGGAAACGCGGGAAAACGCGGGCGACCAAGTCACGATAGGTTTTCGTTTGCATCTGATTGGTTAAAAGGATGATGCGAGCTTTGTAGATCAGTCAAAGACTGACTTTGCAAAACCAAAACAATATTTTGGATTCAATTTTAACACTCAATTGAAAATTGCTCTATGCATGGAACTGCAAATTATTGGTCATGACCATCGCTGAGTTGACTTGCTTGAAGGTTTCGTCAAAAGATAGAGTTAGATGAGGTCCTTGTTCAGTAGAAGCGCGTTTTGAAATAGAAGATAATTCTTCTCCACTTGGCTAATGAAAGATATTCTTTCATATCGTTTCACAGAAAATGTCCAACAGTGTCCTTAATTAAGACACCTGCATTTCAAAAAGACATTCATTGACTAATAAAAAAAATAACAATTCTCCCGAAGGCAGTTTCTTAAATCAAGAAACTTTCAATAACGTGGATCTCAGTCTTGCTCAATTTTTTCTACAGCACCAACCTGCTTTGTGTTGATTTTTTTTTTCAATAACTTTTGTATGTAGTTCCATGAAAAATTGCGACTTGGAGAATATACAAAATGGAACTTTTCGGTCGATGCAGCAATTACAAGACCTGTAAGTAGTATTTGACGTTATGTTTTCATATTCGAAAAAAGGTAAACAAATTTTCTTCAAATATGCTACAAGAGCTAATGTGGGCGCCACCATTTCCAAGACAATTATTTAACCTGTCCACGCACGCAAAACTACATATGGCGCGGTTTACAAACAGCTACCGCGTTGTATTTCCTCTGGGTCAAGTATTCTCACTGATCGTCAAGCGTCAAGTTTATGGGGGAAGGGAGGCTAGGAAGGGGGAGGAGTGGGCAAGGTAAGATTCAAGTGGCGGAGTTCACTTTCGAATTGACAAGTACACTTTTAATTGCGAATATAATAAATTTATTTCATTAAAATGCAGACACATCTCCTTACTAGTAGTTAAAATCACTGGTACTGAGTTCTAAATCGGGCACACATCACTTATCACATCCTTGACAAGTAGCAATCAAGTTCACTGCAGAAAACTAACAGCACGCAATTTTACGTTGCTAATATCTTGTTTAAAGGGACTATGTAAGTTTCTAAAGTAACTGTGGTGCTGCTTCGGTGGGAGAGTATAACAGGGTAATCTGGTACTACTTCGCTGACGAAGGGCTAACGCTCGAAACGTCAGTTTTTAAATCCTTAACGATGGCCAATTTACGTTATCAACTTAGTTGATAGTACTAAATTACCCTGTAATACTTTGTTCAGTTTATTATTCGACATGACATCGATGACATGACAATGACAATGACAATGATATCATTGTTAACTTTTCGGTTTTCAGTACACTGTCTTATAATAAGCTGACGCATATAGACAAGGGTACATTGGAAGGACTTACGGATAACCTTGCTAGTTTGTAAGTATGGTAACTATAGACCATCAGTCTTTGAAAAAAATGTGAGATTATGGAAATCATATCAAACTCACTATTAACAAAAGCCTACATCAAATCTGGGCGAACCCGCCCCCACCACTTTGTGTCTCTAGAACACACAAAATTTGGAACCTTTGGCTCAATTACTAAGAGACGTTTTGATAGTGATTAATTTTAACAACAAAAAAAATTTATAACTTATTTTGAAATACGAAAGCTTCAAGATTTAAGGAGTCAAATTTCAATTTTTAATATTCCGATAAGGCAATTTACGAAGACGTTCAGAGTGTCGTATCAGGGTTAGCCCGTAAGAATGGGTCCTAGCTCTCTCGAGCATGTTCAAATCTCAATTGTACCGCCACATTCGAATGGAGCGAGAAATTTTCTTTATTTTGGTATATAATTCGTCTAGTTTGCGACCGATTTAGATGGGTCAAATGGCCGCTCAAGTAGGAGCACTCTCGCTGGTTTTACTTCTGGTCTTCTACGGATCCGTAAAAGCCGTGGGAGAAAGATCAGAGGGTCCAAAAACAGGATGATTTTCCGGCCATTCGTTACCCACGTTTACATGCAGTATGAAAAAGTAAGTAGTCTCATAAATAAATGAAGCGATTTGATTTTTTTTCCTTTTGTTCCCGGAGATACGGCATTTTTTGCTGGTAAGTCTCGAATATGTCTGATACCAGTCGTGTTTAACAATTTTTCAGCTATCTTCTCTACACAATTGCCAAAGGGAATGGAGAGGGAAGTGGCGAATCTACCTGCGCTGTAGTTGTGGAGAAGACCATGTGACAAACGGGCGTTAGAGGCATCGTCGTCAACAATCGAATAACAAATGTCTTCAGGAAAAAGATTGGGACCATGTGTGCAAAGCCAAAGCGAGCAAGAGGAAAAGTGGAGGTTTTGATGTCGAGGCTCACTGACAAATGGCGCGACCATACTTAAAATAATCATTCTGTCAAGTTATTTTATCACGAGCTAGATAATTACTTTATTGAAAACGAGCGCTAGAAGAATCTTTACAGAACGAAACTACCAAGCGACAGAAACTTGAGGAAGGGCTCGACGACACAGAGAGAAGCTGCAAGTATCACAAACTGAAAAAGATCCCAAAGATTCCAACGTGGTGAATTTGACTCGCTTTGCGACTTTGTCTACGACGGTCACAACGACAGGATGAAAGTTTACAGTCGTTGGTTTTTGTTCTTGTCTTCTTCTTGAATAAAAGCCCAGTTGAAAAGACCTCATCGGGGTATCGTTTTGGGACTCTCCTTTCCCTTGCAGCCGCCATGTTTACTGTTACGAAAAATTGTCTAAGTAAAGTCCCAGAACATTCTAATAGAACATTCTAGAACCCGAAGTCATCTAGACGTGACCTTCTGGTAAAAAGAACATTCTGGAACGTGCTATTTCTTACGTAATTATTCAAATTTAGAAACCCTGTTAATCTACTAAATTTAGTTCTTTAGAGAAGTTTCTAGATCCTTATACTTTATGTATATAAGAGCGACAGTTCCATCGAACAGAGAGAGAGATTTGCGAAGAAGCTTAGTGCTATAAAAACAAGAAGTCAACTAAAACAGTTTGTTGTTGTTACCGACGATCCTGAGTTTTTTCTAGGAACAACCCTGCTCTACATCGACACTCGTAACATTTACAAATGTAAATTGTCACCAATGCGATTGATACTCTGATGCGCAAGCGCCGTAGGGAAAGCGTTGTTCGCGCCAGCCTGGACGCCAATTAGAGCAAATGTTCACGCTTATGGGAAATAAGTTTGATATGCCTGGCGGCACCCATTTGCTGTGGAAAAATTCCATTTCCTTCCTCTGAAATTTGAAATAGCACTTCAAGACGAGACCTTTCAAGCTAATTGTATTCATATGCTTCAAACCTGAGAACAAGTTTGAGGAGTGAAAGGCATAAGAGTCCTCAACCTTCATCGTGGAGAGCCAAGAAATTTATTGTTTCTGTTCGAAAACATGGTCGAACTTCGGGCGTGGAGCAATTTTGTATCTTTTATTGACTCTCGAGCGTTTTGAAGGTGACTTAGTATGAAAGGTTGTGTTTCTAAGGTCAAGAGTAGTCTAGGAAGGATTGCAAACTTTTTCGAATAACACTAAGAGTAGTAACATTATATTCAAGGATTTCTTTTTCTGTTATGGTATGTTTGTCACGTTCCAGGGTTATAGGGAAGTTTCTCTGAAAGCTTCGATTTCATATTCCAGCCACAGTTTCCTTTGCTCGCGTTCAAGCATATATAGCTTGGCTCATTGGGGTAAATAACTTGTAAATATTTTCCTAATCGGTTATAGGGTCCTTGATCATAACAGACTGAAGACGATAGGTGATGGAACTTTCAAGCAATTTATCTCTCTCGAAAGATGGTAAGTAACTCACAGAACGGAAAAAGGGAGTATCGTTATTCAAGCATGATCTGTGGAAAAAAAAAGCTCATTTGAGAAGAGTTATAATCTTATGCTGTTATTTGCTCAACAGAGAGCTCCAAATACCAAAATTACATCGAACCGACTGCTCCATTTAAGAGCCATTTCCAAACTCTTGACGGCCATTTTCTTGGGCTTCTCTACCTCTAGGGTTCCAAGTTTATCTTTCTTTTGTTTTATCTATCTGATGTAAGTCACATGAGTTATTTACGGATTGGTCTGTAAAAGACACGTTTTGAACGTTTTAAAATTGAAAGTCAATATAGAACAGGGGGAAAACATCCCACCCTCGTCCAGTGCTATAGCGCTCAGGTTTGGTTTGGTCACGGATCAATGAGCGTGGACTGTGATTGGTCACATTTCGTAATTGGTCCAATCTTTAGTCGCGAAATACGCTAATTCATTGCATTACCACGAAGTCAACACTTCAGGGTTAGGAAAGGGAAGGGGTGTATTATTTGGTAGTGTTCGCGCCTGTCCCCTTTGTTTTCTGTTAATTCTTTTAATTAGCCAATCAGAGGGTTCAGTGTTTGTTCTCGTCACACAACACCATTTGTGAGTTTCGTGACGTGACCAAACAATTGCTTCCTTGGAGACTAGCCAACTGAGTGGATTGCTTCCTCGGAGACTAGCCAACTGAGTGGATTTCTTCCACTGGAGAAGTCAAAACCAAATATATTTTCTATGAAAGAGAACCTCAGCTTAATAATAAAATCATTACAACTGTTTGTGTCTTTTTTTCCCAATTTTCTGAATCTTTTAGTTCGTTGAGGAATAACAACCTGACATCCGTTCCAGATTTGAAGCGTCTCACATTTTCCGGAAAAGTGTAAGTTGCTATGATTTCTTATCATTGTGTACCTAGGTGGTAGGACAAGGGATCTGGAATCCGAGAAATAATTTGTCCCATTGCCAACAAAGTCATGCAATCAGTTTCTTGTCTTGGTCCCTTCATCATCGTTCCTCGAAATTACCACCGACAATCGGCGACGAAATTGTTGAACTGGTTATTATGTTGGTTCAAAATAAATAAATATGTTGGTTCCAAATAAACCCGTGAAGTAGTGAATAAATGACGGTAAATATATGAAAATCATATATGTGAAACGCGGTTGAAGAAACGAATATGGAAGCGATTCTCGCAGTTATGAACACTACTTAAATAGTCGTGAAAATAAGGCCTGAAAAATTTCAGGCCTGTACTGGATTTGAACCCGAAATAGACTGAGTTCGTCAGCCAAAGGATTTGGGTTGCTGTCATGATTATACTCATCTGCAACACCTCGTTACTAATTAGATTAGTACAAATTCGAAAGGCCAAATGACTCTTGGACTAATACGGTAAAAATTGGAAAATTTACCGTCATCACGAATTGTAGGAAAATATCATCACTAAACAAGAGTCTATCTATCGTCAAAATATCAAAGTGAATTTTAAATCAGCGCTCGCAACTTGGATTTTTCTGCATTATGACCTTTCTTTTTTCAGAAACTTAGAAAATAACCAGATCACAGATGTAACGAAAATCGTAACATCAGGAATTCAAATAGTTTTTGAACTGTGAGTATTTAATTCTCTTAGCATCAAATGATTCCATTTGGAAATCTGAGGGACACAGCATTTTTTACTATGTTTACATGCATCAGGCAAAGGTTTGGCTAAGGTGAAGAGCGCTTTAGCCCTAGAACCAGTATGACAGGTACTAACTGGAAGTATTTTAAGATTTTGCGCAAGGAATGAAATTTTGTGAATGTTTCTTTTTTCTCGTAGATATCTGCGTAACAATAAGATCGAGTACCTACCACCAAACATCTTTCAGAATACTATTGTAGTAGCAAACCTGTAAGTAACTAAAAACAAAACCAAGAAGGAGTTGTTATCTTGCGACTGTCTTTTGATATTTTTGCCCGTGAAATGACGTAATACTAAGTGAAAACGGACGCGATACAACTTTCTATTTTTACTCGCGATCGGGGTCTATTATTTTCACTGGGTTTATGGTGAGGTAAGGGGGGGCCTGGTTTTTGTCACTTGCCCCGCCGGCTTTTCTTCCTTCTACGATTCTTGCTTTTTTACTCAAAATAAAAGGGGCGGGCCCCCTGGGCCCCTCCACTAAATCCGCCACTGGTAATATGATGTGTGGAGTACTGAAATCTGAGTCCACTTACGAATTGTAGATATGTTAGTTACATATGATCATTTCTAAACTTTTTTCAGAAAAAGCAATTGGGTTTTTATTTTCTTGTTAATAACTTTATTCATCTTATCTTTTTATAGTGATTTGTCGTTCAACAATCTGCAGTCATTACCAGATAACGTATTTGATAAGCTCGACAAATTAGATATTCTGTAAGTAAAAGGGAAAAGTATGGCAATTTTGAAAAAACATTCAATTTACTTCTCCCAATCGACGCATACATTCAGTAATCTATCGATTCAAAATTTCTATATCCCTTAAAAAGAGCGATGGGAATGTTAGCCACCCAATATAAACCAAATTAATAATTCTCTGCATTTTTTCCGTGTACTTGGTCATTTGCCCCATAAAGGATTCATATACTACCAATTCCTTTTTCTCAGTTTTGTTGCCTACAAACTGCATGAAGTTAATAAGCCATACTAGTGTAATGAAACAAGTTATGCATGTCCCACAGGGAATAAAAAACAGTTCTTCAAATGATAAATATAGCGTATAAAGGCCTGGCTAACGTCCGCAACATTTCAGCTGAACTTCTTGCAACATTGTGGCGCACAAAATTGTGGCACGCTTTTGGCCAACTTGTAACAACGTGTTGCAAGATGTTGGATGATGTTAGATCAAGTTTGAAAATTTTCAAATTCTTGTTGCAACATTTTTGGGTGTTGCAAGATTTTTTTGCGCGTTTGGACAGCTCTTTTACAATATCTCACAACACGATCCAATAATGATGCAAGATGTTGCATTGAACTGTTGCGTGCGTTTAATTTTTGAGCGGGCCTTAATACCTTATTTAATACCTTAATAATGCGTGCGTTATGGGCTTATATCTCTATGTAATTGATCGAATAGGACCTATTCCGATGTATATACGTTTTCTCTCTTTGTGTACTTCACTTTCCTTCTTAAAATTTTCTTTTACTTTTTCTTTAAGGATGCTTAGCTTCAACAACATCACTTCCATTAATAAACGCACCTTTAGTGGACTTTACAATTTGAACACACTGTAAGTTTTCTACAGAGGTTTTAGTTCACGGTAGTGTAGCGAACGAAGAAGTTACTTAGCTGAACTCAATGGGGCTGTTATTTACACCGGGTCTAACCCAAACCCCTTTCTTACATGCAAGGAGAGGGGCTTACGTTTCCTACATGATTGGATTGTTTTTATTCCATTAATGTCTTTCAATTGCCAGCTTTCGGCCCTCGTGACACTGTTCACAGAGTGAATATTCAGATGAAAGATTCAGCTTTATTCAGGATATTTCATAACGCAGCTTTGTTAAACAACGGCTAAACTTTGTTCAAATAACCGGCCCAATAAATTTAACATTATATATTAATAGTTTATTAGGCGTTTCGAAAAATGACAAACATAGATTTGTCTGGATTAGAACTATGTAGCTGCAAAACATAGGGCATGCGCAAAGGGTTAAATTTTGGTCAGCCGCGCGCAAGCTCCCACTCAAAGGCTCAAAGGAAAACTTTGGAAACAACCGCTGTCACGCCAATTACGCGAAAAAAAAATTTCAACAAAACAGTGATACATTCATGTATAGGGTGTTTCGAAAGTTTTTGAACTTGTTAATTTTCTCAACAAATAAATTGATTGTTAGAATTTTATCAATAAATTGAAGCAGAGAATTTGTTACAATTGTTACCAATAGCAATTTTAATTGTCTGCTAGTTGTCTTTGTTTTGCACAAAATCTGCATGAGTGCGTTTTCCCATCATTTTTCGTGCCATTTGTGTATGTTGTTCCTTTCCCGAAATTGTTGATATTCTCTAGTATTAATTTAAATAAATGATGAAACGTTAGAAGAAAACAAACCGGAACGAACTTTTGAAACACCTTGTTAATCTGTAAAAGGAAGTAAACTGGGGAAAGAGAACACTAGAAACTTTTCGCACTCAAAGCTTATTTGATTACGGGTTTTCTGCTGAAGTGCCATTTTATGTTGAGCTTTACCACAAAAGTTGTACGGTGTCCAACACGGCGACTTACTCGCTTGTGTGGTTGTTCTTTAAAGAACTTGTGTTGAAAGCCTAAAAGCACGCCATT